AGGCGTGGCTTGGAAGCGACGAAAAGGAGGGCAATGTAAAACTTGGATCCAATGCGTTAAGGCGCAAACGTTGAAGCTGGCTGTTGTCGGGCGTTCCCGACTCCCGGGTTGGGGACCAAAGGACCCCGAGCACATCTGGTTGCAAACGCTGGAGGATGTGGCCAAAGACTGTACGCAATGGCGCACTTGCTGTAACTCTTCTACCCTAATAGCTGTTTTCCCTTTCAATCTATTTTTTCCTCTTATGTGTTGTGGCACTCTGCTAACTGTTTTGTAATTAGTAGTGTTATATATATATATATATATATATATATATATATATAAACGTTGGGTGGCGCGACACCGAATCACCTCCACGTTTGATAGTTACTATGCCTTTGCTGCAACGAAAATGATAGTAATAAAAAATTTCATTGTATTATTAAAAGTCCATGCAAACGAACATGTTTTCAATAGTTCCTCTTCAGGCTTGTACAATTATATATGTAAAAAATGTTTGACACAACGTAAAGGTTGGTAAGACAAATTCGGTTCACAGTCACTGATCGAGCATAGTTATTATCCGTTAGATCACAAGTGCGGCGTACTCCATTTCGTCGGCCTGATGTCGTAGTTCGGGTGGGCCAAGGCAGTTTTAACGCCTAAACGAGTCGTTTCTGAACACACAACTCCGGCTTGTACAGTCGAATCGCGACGGCCTTTGCGGATTCAAGAAAACGCACTCTGATCGATTGTCTGGTACCTGATAGATGCTTTCGAATGACTCAGCCAAGTTGGTGGCGTGGCCAGTGCCGGTGAGATGCGTGGCTATGGATGAGTTGGTTTGTTTTCGATAAGCGGTCATGAGCAAAGCCGGATGGTGTTTTTTCACCTCTTCAGACAGGCGCCTCGTCGTTCGGCCTATGCATCCTGCCCCACAGAAGCAGAACGAATAAATACACATTGATTTGGCGTGGACGGGCCTCTTGTCTTTGGGGCTAGTTCTAACCATTGAGCTACCGGGGAACTGGATTTGCAGTTTAGCTGCAGGGAAAGTGCGTCTGATGGCATGATAAAGGTGATAGTGGTTCGAGTTTTCTAAATAAAAAAGCGCCGCCTAGCTAAAAATAAGCATGATTGTATCACAGATAAAGGTGATACATCACAACGATTATCTCCGGTATACATACATAGATCAGGACTTGATGGATATCGGACACCGCACATGTACACACGAAGAAGGATTCATGCTTCGATTGCTTATTAGGTCGGGCGGTCAGATGCCTAGTGTGAGTCGGTCAAATGTATTCCTGCGCCGCTCCGAGCGAACAATATCCAAAGCGAATGGTAACGAAGTGGGTCTCGGAACAAGCGCAGTGCCTGGTTCGGGAACGCACTGCTCATACAATTACAGCGTCTATCAGGACACGTAATGCGGACGACAAATCTTAGGGTACTTTGTTTCCGATTCTCTTCCGCCTTCGAACGATTCGGTGCACTTGTCGATTTAACCGGTGAAGGGTGGCTAGGCTTTTTATGCGTTGCGTTGATACGTTCGAAGCTGAACGTTTAATTGCGACCGCGTCATTAAATAAGAACAAAGTTTTCGAAATAGGCATGATTTCTGAGGAAAAGAGTGGAGTATTGCCGGAGAATAAGGTCACCGACACACTACCTCTAATATTATAAGCAATATATCCGCGCCCTATTTGTAGCAAGGCATCAACTTAACATTAACATGCGTTCCGCTTTCGCGTTACCCAATATTATCGTGGGGAAGATTTCATTTTTGGCGTATAACTGAGGTAAAGAAATTCACCATATGTTTGTGCTGTAGGAGCTAAAAGAGCGATCATCCATATATTCTAAATAAGTAACAAACTACCGAATCGTCCTGCTGCCCGTAGGGATTTCATCGCATCTAGTTGGACGAAACTGAGAGATGACCAGGCGATGACATGGCACAAAAGCATTTGGAGACGGTATCAGCCCGGCACGCGTAGCCTCCACGGCTACACCATGTCAGTGGTGCTCCTGGATTCAGTTTCCTGCATCCTACGGTTACCAAAACCACTTTTTGCATTCTGCCACATTTCACCACCACTGTTACCTACTATTATCCTGGAGAAGCGAATCGCAGCAACTTCGGTACTCGGGTCATATTTCTTTAACTAGTTTTTTTGGGAATTTCACATTCAAAGTGTGGAAACGAAATGGTACTCATGGACGTTGTTTGCCAAGTACAAGCCGAGCAGCTAACAGCGACTGATCGGACGGTAGTGTTAGCATGGGCTGGTGATAATTCAACAGGAAGTCTACTGTCTGAATGGATGGACGGGGATATCGATTGACTTTATTGACTTAACCAACTGCAAACTCAGCTTTCGCTGGCGTGTCACGTGTATCTTGGCTTTGCAAATGTATTTGCCTGAAGAGAATTGCAGAAAAGAGCACTATTCGCAACGGTTACGCTCTGACAACTATTGACGAAAAATATCAAAAAAGTATTGAGTAGCTAGGAGCTGGCGGTAATGAGTTACAGTAGCAGCCCAACTTTTCCACTGGCGCAGCCATGGACACAACTTGCATACCGGTGCTGACGACTTAGATTGGCTGCTCAGATGCTCACCGAACTTTGGCTGTGACCAAATTGCCGAATTCAGTGACCATGTTAGCAACCTAGTTTCTTGAGTCCTTTGCCAAGTTTTGCTTGAACATAAAAAAACAACATACGGACGTAGGGGTTGTCGATGGGCATGCGAAACACTTCATTTAGCATGCAGGTCTGTCAAGTAGTTCAGCGGGTTGACAAACCAATCTTATCTCGGCAAACTGCAGTGTTCCTCATCCAACAGTCTCATTGGATGCGATCATTACCGCATGGACATCAACGAGAAAGGCTTCTCGCAACACTTCCCTAATACAGTGGCTGTCATAGACTTTTACGACAGGGTTGATCAGAACGCATGGTACTCTTCAACGATATGTAAACTAACATTCTATCGTGCCTCTATATGTGGGAAAAGCTTGAGGCATGGTAGCCATTTCAGTGGTATGGTCACTAGAGGAAGCTATATGCTTCCATAAACACGCAAGTTGCTTAGCTTGAGTAATCATTGGAGTCAGTGACCGGCTAACCTCATCTCGCAGTATTGCTACAAAGTGTGCAACAAAGCACGCATCCAAATGTGAAACGTATTGCACGGCATCCGGCCAACTTGGGGACAGTCACCCTGTGCAGACACTGAGTATAAGAGCAGCTGAACTGGCAGGACTATGAAAACTTGAAGGAAGGACTTCAACGACAGCAATAAGGATAAATTTATCTCGTAGAAAGAGAACTAAGCTTCTCGATTTGTCACTTTTTCGATTAGGAGCTCATTGTCTAGAGCAGTGAAACGGTCGCGGAACAAGTATTACGAAATGAAGATCATTCTCCACTTGCTCACTGAATGCATCATGATCATGAAGACAGAAGTGCGATTCTGTTTAAAAGGGGCAACTGATAACGACTACAACAGAGGTGGTAAACTTGACATTATCCAACTACAAATAAGAATACCAGAAGACGAAAATTGCGGGATGACATTGTCACTTAGTGCATACTTCTCAACCGCTATACAAGCAACTAAAAAGGAATGCAAAAACAAGGTCACATGAAATCAATTATACATCACGTGTTTTCCGATTGGTGACCATATCATGCAAATCACTGCTAAAAGAATCAGCGCCTCAATGAAAAAGACATGCGACGCAGTAGAGCTACGCTTGTTGATGACCACAAGACCAATACTTAAGTGTTCAGTGAAGACGCCCGTGTCGAAGCAGTGCACATCCCATTGCTTATACAAATTAACGTGTAGCTGTGGTGACAGCTATATTGGGCGCACTACTCGAAATCCGGGTGCTCGAATCAATGAACATATTCCAAAGTGGCTCCGTAAACAGATGGAAAGTGCGACGATCGCACGCGTTGGATGGAAAAAGCAAAGTTGCCTCCTTAATTACGAGACATTTAATGATCATCGGTCACCAAATGAACCCAGATGAGTCATTCAGTCCTCACAGGCCTCACATACTCAAGGCTATTATTATCCATTGACAGCACCCACCGCTGTGTGTCCAAAAACAGCTGACAGTGACATTAAGCCTACCGTGTTGGCGTGCAACGCACCAATCGGAAAACACGTTATCTATAATTGATTTCATGTGACCTTGTTTTTGCATTCCTTTTGGTTGCTTGTTTGAGGAGTATGCATGAAATGACAATGTCATCCCACAATCTTCGTCTTCTGATATTCTTATTTGTAATCATAAAGGGAAATTCATGTTTCGAAATTCTATAACTCCACTGTCCTTAGCACTATCCGTCCACCGAAGTGAAGCTTGTGCGAATGAAACAGGCACTGAGCACGGCACCATCAACTACGGCCATTTCACCATTACAAACTGTATCCCTCCTTAAGAGTCAGTGTGTTACGACCAACAATCGCCGATTCTGTGACAGTACTCGAAATCGTGTCCGATGCTGATGACGGTAGAACAAGACCTGGCAATCATTGCAAGTCCATGCGCACCTGTGTACCACAGATGAAAAGCAAGCAAGTGCAACTATCTTGGAATCACTTCAACCGATGAAGTATACAACATTCTTTAAAGTATGGGAATGATCAGTTCGGAGCTGCTTCTGGTTTTGCGCAAAGTTTGGCGGTTCCGGAAAGCAGAAGTATCCTTGAACTTCTCATAGATGTTGATGATGAATTTGTACATGTCTTCTACGGTAAACACTAATTTCTAAATAGCAATCATCTTCCTGGTGGCAACCAGCAGATGTTCAGTTATTGCTTAGAGATCAGTAGCTAATCTTGGAAGGTCATTTGTTTTGGACATTGAATGAAGTGGCCACCAATGTTCGGATGAATCAGCTTCGTGAATAAAATCCGGGGTTCATAGAGAAAGAACCACAAGGTTGAAAACTTCGTTGTTGTCGTCGGACAGTTACACACTGCGAGGAAACTTACTCAGATGGGGTCATAACCTGAGTGTGTAGACCATATAGACCGACCGACGCAGGATATGACCTAGCTGATGATATAGACTGACGATTCTGGGTCCAAAGTAGGTCTTCTTTCTTCGGCAAAGCCAGTTCCTGCAATGTCGAAAACGCTCGTGCTAGAAAACTGTGTTCGCAAAATGGTAGCTCAGTTCGGTTCGTCAGCATCGATCCGTTGACAGAGAGAAACGGTGGACCCAAATGTCATGGCAGATATCGGTAAACCAACAGTAATAATTCCAGTAAGTAGCATCATTCTGGTTAGTGAATAGTTCAAGAAGAAACAACGATTTAAAGAGCTCTGCCGAGACTTTGTGATCACGCTACATCCGATAGCACGTTCAAGCAATGATGTGGTTAACCGTGAGGACTACCACATCCGGGAAGACGACGACAATCACTAGCTCGACGCAGCCTATCAGTTGGTTTCCGTCAATTTATTAACTAACCACCTGGGGATATTGCCCAATTAGGTACAATATTAGCGAACAACGCAAATCGGCACTCGGAGAACATGATCAAGACACTGGAGGTGATAAGGGTTCAACAAGAACCCCAATGAATCACCAGAGACTCTGCTGCAGGATACCATAAGATATAGTCAATACATTATAGTCAGTCTACTGATACCTTCGGTGTGCACCCGCTAGGTGTCCGACTCACAATAGAATACAAAGCTTAAAAACCTCTAACTTTTCAACTGTATTTTCTGGTTGCTTTTTAGTGTTCATTATACAGTTTGCTTTAAATATCTGAACCGAATTTCGTTCCACGTTTATGCTTTGGTCGATTATGTGCGTTTTTCAGGTGCTTAGTTCGAAGGTGCTCAATAACTGCCACACGGAATTGATGTTAAGCTCGGAGCGCAGTAAACATGGAGGCTTCGGACACATTGAAGGCTGGGGAATTAGGCCAGTTGTTTCCTTCGCAAATGACTGAGTCCGTATAACTACTAAGTGGTATGTTGCACACAATCACCATGCGAAAAGTCACAGCTCTGGGGCCAACCACTGCTCTGTGCACTGTTCGTAACTGGCATGACAGTGGAGGGTGAGCCGCGCTTTATCGCAGTCAACTCTTATTCATACAGACCTGCGGCCGTCACTTATGGCGTAGTGGTGTAAGCTGCTGGCATCCGGGAGTAATGGGGTCGCAACCCGTTAC